TTAGATATGTTATTATAAAACATGTTTTAGTTAAGGAGTTATTGATACTTCAAGTGCAAAATGATGATATAAAACCTTGATAAAAATACATTTTTAAGTATCAATCACATAGTGCACGTCTTTACAGGCAAGGTGAAGCTGGTTACTGTGCTCATGCACACTAACCAGCTGATGTGGGCTGGGCTCATATATTTTGGGTTAGATGCGGGCTATATATGTAAGTTTTTGGAATTTTACCATTCCCCGCCTATTTTGTTTTATGCCATTTTGCTTAATATCGGTTGGTATTTTTCATCAGAAAAATACTAATTCGGTATTAAAATACTCAGTTTTTGTCAACTTTTAAAAATATAAAAAAAATTTAAAAAAAGAAAAAAAATATTTTTGTGTATACAACCAAGTGTCTCAAAAACTAAAAAATCATATTGTGTTTTTTGTACACCAGAAAACAATGTTGTAGCATGTATTTTGGCTTTAATAACTAGTTTATTAAAGTCAACAGAACATTGGCTAAAATTTAAAAAATAACAAAAAATTTATTTTCTTTGTCTTTTAGTATTCGGGGTACAATATTACACGTAATATATATTCCAGATATTTAATTTTTTTTTTACAATAAAATGGTTATGTTTTATCTCATTAAGATAAAAACTTTCTTATTAAGGAGGGCTTGTCTTAAACCTTAGACAGACTAACAATTAGAAATTACAACACGACTTTAGATTTTATTAGATAACAAAACAATACAGCCTAACTAAGGTAAGACGCAATTGGTGTGCTAATACATTTCTTTTACGCAACCAGTCTTCGTACTCAATCTTTAAAATCAGTTAGGGTTCCTAGTGACTAGAATAGTAGATAGCAACTCCCATTCAAATTTTTCACTGATGAAGACAAGAATTCCTTGTCTCTTCATATTTGCCAGATAGACTATACTTGTAAATTTTTTTAGGGTGGACGATCGCCGTGATATCACATACGCGTGACAAACACAACTTTTTTTTTTTTCTCTATCATGAAATATTGGCTCTATTATACTTTTAGTTTCTATTACTTATCTAGCGCTGATTCACAATTATAACATTATCAAATGCATTTGTTTTATAAGCATACAGTAGTGCACAAACATGCCATCTCATTACATGTATAGAGGGTGAATGATATTAAAATAAATATTTATATACTTTAGATATTAAAATTTTATATAAAGATTATCAAATTCTCTAATAAATATTTTCTAAAGTAATCAAATTTGTTCCCATAAAGTATCTAAGTTCATCTATTTTAAATCTCATTTTTAATTTTTTTATTCTTATGTATTTAAGAAGTGTTTGGGAATGTGGTTGAAACCGAGTTTCTTCAAAATTTATTTTTTATTCTAAAAATTATTTTTTTTTATGTTTTTATATTGTTTTAAAGTGTTGATCTCAAAAATAATTTTTTAAAAAATAAAAAAATATTATTTTAAAGCATTTCTAAGCAACAAATAGTTTGAACAATAATTACTACCACAATCCCAAAGTGCTTTTAGCTTATAAATATATTAAAATAATATTTTTTTATTTTTAAAATTATTTTTGACATCAGTTTATTAAAATGATTTAAAAATATTAATTTAAAGTAAAAAAAAATAAAATTTTGAATTTTTAAAAAAATATTTTTATACCATGAAAACAAACATATGTCCCACAATGCATTATCCAATTTTTTCTTAACATTGATTTGTAGATATTGAACAGTTGTATATCATAGCTACCTAATTCAACTGAATTATCAATTCAACTGAACTACCAATTTAACAGTTATATATATAAAAAAGCATATCATAGCTACCTAATTCAACTGAACTATCAATTTAATTTGCTTTATGTACTTTGATTTTGTGGTATAAAAAAAAACAAAATAAAGAGAAAAAACTGAACTATTTTGAGAGCTATGAAGACGGCACATGTAAAATATTAGTGCTCCGACATAAGTAGATATTTTTATTTGTTTATAAATAAATTATACATACAAGTTTTTTCTACACATTTTTATAATTTTAAAAATATAAATTTAAATAAAAAAATTATGTGTAAATATATAATTAAATAAATAAAAAATTATATATGCAAATAAATAAAAAAATCATTAATAATATTTGAAAATAAATTTTTTTATAAAAAATTAAAATTAATTGGTTTTTAATTACAATTAAATAGTGAAAAACAAAATCCAAAAATTAAATTAAAAAAACATAAAATTTTATATAATTTATCTACATTAATGTGTGAGATAATATCAGTGAAGACTTGCGTAATGATTAATTATATCAATGCCAGCGATCCAATCACTTGGACACGACTGATATCCACCTTAACCATACCGACGATGGCCACAATCTTCTAGACTGCAGGAAGACAGAGCCATCGTTCCTGTGAACGTAAGTTTCTCCACGTCACCGATAAAAAACTCACTGCCACGTCACCGATAAAAAACTCACTGCCACGTCACCAAAACCTTCTTTTCTTTTCCTATGGACCCTGTAGCTCAACAGACCGTTCTTTCTCCTCCTCAGCGTCTCTCTATTTCCAACTCAATTTTCCTGGGAGCCAACCGCAAAAATTTTCCCGCTTAGTTTCTAAGTTTTACTCTTAAATGGAAGTTAAATTGCAGCATCATAGCTTCTTGAATTCAAGGTGCTCAATTCTGAATTCTATATTTTTTCTGATTCATTGCAAGTTTTCTTTTTACTACCATCAATTTTTACCGTGTAATTGTAGAGTAGCTAGGTTTTTGGAATCTCTGCTTGTTTGCATGCCGAGAAAATGAGAGAAAATAAAAGAAAAGCAATAACCAAAACTAGACTTTCAATTCCAGTTGTGTATTCACTTTCCTTTTCTTTTCTTTTTGAAAGACTGTAAATGTGAAGTATACTGCTTGATCGGTTCGATTAACGTTTTGTGCAGCTATAATGGTTCGTCTTGCGTTGAATTTTTTATTGTGTTCGCTGTTGGGCTTGTAAATTGGTTTGTTCATGAAAAATGATAAATTATTGGATATCATGGTTTTCTGCTATATCTATAAAAGGAGAACAGGGAATTGGGGAACTTGTAGGAAATAAATGATGATGTAAGAAATATTAATGTCTGGCGTGCTTTCATTACAACATTAATGTGGTTAGAGCTGACTGTTGAGGTTTCTACTGCAGCTCTTCAAATCCATGGCTTTCACAAAATTCTATTGCTCCCAGTATCTCCTGCAAAAGAGTAGCTCATTTGGATTATCTACTGATCAATTGGGGTAACTCAAGGAAAAGATGCCTTGCGAAGCTTGCATTGCGAGGGAATGGTAACCAGAATCTTAATTACCAATTGGTTCGATATAAGAAATTTAATCTGGCATATCGTAAGACAAGAAGGATGGGCCACCTTTTTCCCCTATCATCTGCTGATGATGGTGTAACTGTCAATGGTAGTCCTTCTGCTAGTACCAGTAGTGACGTGGAGGAAATGAGACTTAAACTCAATCAATCACTACAAGTTGATGATTCAAGTGATAAACTTGTTCAATCTTTACATGATGCAGCAAGGGTTTTTGAGGTGGCAATTAAAGAACAGGGTTTGCTATCGAAGTTTTCCTGGCTTTCATTGGCCTGGCTTGGTGTAGATAGGAATGCATGGCTGAAAACGCTGTGCTATCAGGTTTATTCTCAGCCCTAGGAAAGTTATTGGATAACAATCATCATCCGTACACCCTTTTACTTTCTTTCACTGCTGTAAGATATGCATGTCTGGTTTTATTATAATATTGACTTGGCCAATCAATCTTATTGAACATAAAAACTAGGTCATTGACTAATGCTAATCCCATGATGTTACTAGGCTCTGTTCTTGAGAGCATTCCAGTTGGGTTACATAATCTTTTGTTGGTTTTTGGCTATATCAGTTTAACAAAAAGAAAAATTGTGATACGTTATTATTGAGGACAGTATTATTGCAACTTTCACTGGATCATTGTTAGTTCGTCAAACATGATGTCACTATCACAAACACCATTGCTGCCACCTCCCCAAACTCTTAATGTTGATGCTGGCATTCTCTTTTATTGACACTCTTACGGTTCTGCTGCAAGAGTCCTCTGCATCTATCATCAAAATTAGAATTCTTTTTGTCTGGGGCAGCACTGCATTAAGTACAACTATAGTTCATTGCTGCTGCTGAGGCCTCGACCTCTACAACCTTTGTTACAACTACGTCCACCACCATCTGATTTCTATTATAACTTCTTGTAAAGGCTATTCAAACAAATAAAAAATTCATGTGAAGGCTGAGGTACTCATCACTGTTCAGCTTTAACACAAATCAATGCAATTATTACAGTACCCTTGCCAATTTTCATTTTGAAAACATTAGATAATTTAAATGTAAGTGATATGTGATTTTCATTAGATTGTTCATTTTGGTGAACGGAGCTCTTGGTAAGTTCTTTGAGTCTGTTTCGAGGCCCAGGGATGATGCATTTCCTAAATAATTTAATGGTCCGCGGTTGCTTGGGGTGGTTTTAGTGTGGGTTTATTCTGATCTTTTGCACAAACATTTTGTTGTAACTTTTCTTATATCATCTATGTTTCTGTTGGTAATTTCCTCAAATAAACATATGTACTAACTTCTCTCTGCATATACTTGATAAGTGATGTGATGTGAATATCTGGTCAACTGATTATCATCCTTTAAGACATCCAAATTTGTTATTTTTAAAATTTTTCACTTTTCTTAACATGTATATTTAGTTTCTCTACAACAAACAATATCATACTTATTTCATCCTCATAGAAAATTTTGGCACCAAGTTATCTAAATTTTCATAATTTCTTTCAAAATGCTTCGTATTTGCAGTTATTGTTGCCTTTTTCTTCTTCAGTATACTTTTGAGCAGACACATTTATTGCATTGTTTTTCTGAATGGTGTTCTGAAGATTTAGACATGTGTATCGGTGTACATATCAGCTGGAAGTCTTACAAGCAATCTTTTGACCTTTGAGCTCTTCTCTATTTTAGTCTAGAACATTATTTAGCATTTCTGATGTTTCATGTATTTCTCAGGCGTCTGTTTATTCCTTACTACAAGCAGCACATGAGATTTCTTCCCAAGGTGATGGTAAAGACAGAGATGTGAATATTTTTGTTCAAAGGAGGTGATAAATAATATTTATTTCAGATCACCATTTCTTGTTTGGCTGACTCCTGTTAAAGCTCCCAGAATCTTGCCTGATTTTGGTCTAATTTATTTAAAATTTTACTCCCATTGTTTGATATGTGCGATATATATATACAGAAACTAACACATTGCACATCTTTCATTCATGAAATTAAGATGCAAGACCTCTTTCCTAATTGAATCAACGATTATTTTTGTTATTGAATTTTCAAAACTACTTGGAGCAGAATACTTGGTCGTATATGGCCGACTTTTGCAACATGCTTTGATAAGATTGTACATTAAACAGATTGGTGAAAGCTTGCCCATTGTTCCCTGATAGATACAATTGCTAACCATCCAATCAAACTTTTGGATTTCGAAGTTTGTCCAGTAGGCTATAGCTCCTTCTGTCCTTTACATGTTGCATCGGAGACCTTTGATTCCACAATTTCCATTTCTGTGTTATTTGAAACCAACATTAATTGTGTATTTTCTGTTCTGACCTTCTGCATTGGTTTCCACATACCTATGATTTTACATCAGTTTTAACTTTTTATGATGCAGTTTATTACGGCAATCTGCTCCACTAGAGAGCTTGATCAGGGATAAACTATCTGCTAAACAACCTGAAGCTTATGAATGGTTTTGGTCTAAGCAAGTTCCGATGGTGGTGGCTTCTCTTCTTAATTATCTTGAAGAGGACCCACGCTTTACTTCTGCTGCTGCTGTGTATGTCATTGTCTCTCTCTTACTGCTTTTTGAGGTTTCCAGTAATTATTGCAGTTTTGATATCCTTGTGAGAATAAGGTTATTTTGGTTTACTTTCAGGTTTGGCAAAGGCTTGTCCTTGATTTCAGGCAATGGAAGTGATATTTCACTTCTTTTATTGGCACTAACATGTAATGCTGCAATCACAAAACTTGGCATCACAAAAGTTTCTTGCCCAAAATTCTTCTCCATGATCTCAGATATAACTGGTAGATTGATGGACATGCTGGTTGATTTCATTCCTGTACGCCAAGCTTATCATTCTATAAAGCACATTGGTCTACACAGGGAATTTCTTTTACATTTTGGGCCTCGATTTGCGGCATGCCGAGTAAAAAATGATCGTGGATCAGAAGAGGTGATTTTCTGGGTTAATCTTGTACAGAAACAGCTCCAACAAGCTATAGATAGGGAGAGAATATGGTCAAGACTAACTACTTCTGAAAGTATTGAGGTTAGTGCCAATGGCTTATGTGCAAGTTTAGAGTATAGTTGAGGCTTTTCATTACCTGTTAATTTAGACCATGCTAAAGTTTAAAGTGCCAATCATCAGTTTCATGCTCCCCATTCTGAACATATACTGTATTCTGGGAGAAGGATTGGATGGATAACCAAAATAGTTTTTGGCATGTGGTGTTGTTTTGGTTTTGGAATATGGAAGCAAAGGGAGGAGGAGGACAGCAGTGAAATAAGGGGGTCTGTCACAGTACTGAAGATAAATGCATAGTATGTAACAGATACAGTACACTGCAATCAACCTTCTTTCACTGTGGCTTTAATTCTGTAAATTGCATAATTTTGCTAGTTTTCCAAGAAACAAGGGTACCTAGAAGCAATTTACTGATGAAAAGCAAATGCTCCAATTTTGTGAAGACGTGCTTTCACTTGCAAAAGTTTATAGAAAAACAATTATAGCATAAAAATAAACCTAGTTTATGAATTGTTGAGGTCTGAATATCGAATGTTAACCCTTGTTTATGATGATTATTGGGCTACACTAATGGTTTTGTCTCCTCATAGAAACCCTATCAATTCTGTTTTTGTTGCTATGCCTTGAACGTATTTGTGATTTCCCCATCCACTCAAAAGAGGCAGTTTGCTAGTCTGAACAGGCATTGGCTACAGCACTTAGGCATGCTTGCATATGAACTGTCTATAGATATACATTTATCTATTAAATTAACAATAAATGAATAGATATTCCTTTAATCATGTAGAGCCGTTGTTGATTGCAGGTTTTGGAGAAGGATTTGGCTATATTTGGATTCTTTATTGCCTTAGGAAGAAGTACAAGATCCTTTTTATCAGACCATGGATTTGATGTTCTAGATGATCCTATTGAAGGCTTCATAGGGTAACTCTTCTCTATCCTTTTCTTTAACAATAATTAATAAAATTTGATTTAGATTTCTTTTGCTTGGATGTCTATCATTTTATGAATTTTCTTGAAGGTACCTTATTGGGGGTAGTGTTTTGTACTATCCTCAGCTTTCATCAATAAGCTCCTATCAGTTGTATGTAGAGGTGAGTCAGCATGCATATTTACTAGCATTATTATTAAACATTCTGTCTCATAGTCAATAACATAATTTTCAACTCCATAGGTAGTTTGTGAGGAGCTGGATTGGCTTCCTTTTTATCCAGACAACATTGGCACCCCAAATCTGTCTCTTGGACACAAAAATAAACAGAAGGATCCTCCAAATGCTGAAGCTATCCCTCAAGTATTAGACGTCTGCTCCCATTGGATCCAAAGCTTTATTAAATACAGTAAATGGCTAGAGAATCCATCCAATGTTAAGGCAGCAAGGTTTCTTTCCAGGGGGTAATTGAACTTATCTGCCCTAGTTACTACAAAACGAAGAGTAATTCTTTGATTTAACAACATCTTCCACTTTCATTGTTCAGGCACACCAAATTAATGGAGTGCAGGGAAGAACTAGGAATGTCTTGGTAAGCTAATGGAAGCAAAACTTGGAGTTTTTCTCTGATGTGCACATGAAGCATGCTCAAAAAGACAGAAAACTAGTCATAAAGTTATGAATGAGATGTGTATTCTGTGATAAAAAATGAAATGGGCTTCAACGGGATTAAAAACCTTTTAAAGTGCTAGGAATGGATAGAAATCTATAGAAACCAAAACTGATCCGCCATTGGAATTATCTGGCATTTCAGTCAATATCCAAGCTTTTATTGAGATTTTGACTTGAGCTGTATGTTCTGTCAAAGACTTGTTTCATTTCAATTCATTTTGTTTGTAAGGACATGATTTCTACCATTGTCTAGTTATGTTTGTTTGAAATGTTTTTTGAAATGATTCATAGTTGTGGATTACAATTTACACTTAAACATTGTGATGCAGGAAAATGACAGAAAGCAATATCAATTATTCTGTTGAGATAACAAGACCTGAAATTAATTTGATGACTTATAAAGAGACAGATTCATTCAACAAGGTTTTTATCCTTCCTTTAGTTCATTTCTTTGTGGCCTATTCTTCACAGTTCATTTTGAAACTTGGAAGACTCAACTTTCCATGTGAACATATACGTCACAAGGATCTGTTTTCCTGTGGTGTGGGTCTGTCTAATCAATGACATAACATTTATGAGGATGTGAAAACAGCCTCATTCATATCATAATGCTTAAAGTGAAAGAAGTACTTGGTTTCTTTGTTTTCTTGTTGGGTTGCAGCTTGCTCCTCTAATTGATATTTAACCTCTACACATGAGCTTCCATTTAGACCAGTTGTCCATGTTGTTGTTCTGTTCTACATGCCAATAGAACGATTGTGCTTTACATTTGGTGTCAGGCATTGGAGAGTGTTGAAGGAGCTCTTGTGAGACTCGAAAAACTACATCAGGAGCTGCCTGCTTCGAGCTCTAATTCTGGGAAAGAGCACATAAAGGCTGCGTGTTCTGATCTTGAGAAAATAAGGAAACTGAAGAAAGAGGCTGAATTTCTGGAGGCATCATTCAGAACAAAAGCAGCTTCGCTTCAGCAGGTATGCTATTAGTTTCATAGTAATACACACTACAGCTTATTAATGACCACTGACTGCATTCCATTTGATTCACTGCTGGCCTGTACTTGCAAATGATTATGCTGCATTCTTTATTCCAAAAAGGTGCACCACAATTTCTTCATCATGTGTTCTCTTAAAAGGCAGCTTTATACCTCCGTGTTTAACAGATAGTTCTCATCTTTATTAAAATTTGTATATCTTACTAGTACTTATTTGCTGATTGGATCACCAGGGAGAAGATGAAAGTAGTCTACAATCTTGTATTAGCGAGCAGCAACAATACTTGAAAGGGAATGGGAGGAAGAATGCTGATGTAAGGCTAGATAGAAGTAAAAGGTATTACACTTTTTCTGTAGGTTTAAGCTCTTCCCAACATGTTTGAGTTTCTTGTTTCATGCTATTGTCTGATTTATTTCCTGCTTAATAGTGATTCCTTTCATTTCTTTTTGAGTTATCAGTAAATTTCAAGGACTGTGGAACTTCCTTGTGTACTCTCCAACCAAGAAGCTTGGCCCTGATGTGGCAGTTGTTGATGCATCTGTATGCCCTCCCTTCACGATATTGTCTACAATAGTAACTGTTTGTGGGTGGTCTTTTTTTAATTGTATATGTTTGTGAGTACTTTGGAAGTTCCACTCTCAAATGTGTTAAGCTAGTTGAAGAAGTTTTTCTCAATGAAAGCTTCTTGATTGCAACTAGCTTAAAACTAGATCCTTAGAAGAAAAACTAAAATGAATTACATAGCTTTATTTTCAGAAAGTAAAAATAAAGGCACTCCTCATTAGCCATTTGATAAGCAGATGACCTTGAGCTGTTTTTATTCTTCTTATTTCTATGATGTCCTTTGACCTTGAGTTATTCTTGTTGAAGTGCTGCATTCACAGAGGAAAATTAAGGCACTGGTAGATATTTTTGTCCTATAGGATGTTATTTGCTAGGTATCTTACTGTGCTGTCCTATTGAATATAGTGCCACAGTTTGGTTCTGGAAGCATTATATTTCCCATTTTGAAATGCCAACTTAAAGGCAGAAAGTCTGGTTCATGCTAACAATAATAGTTGGAATTTCTCTTGGATATTAAATAAACTGATTTGACTAATTCGTACATTTAGACTGTTTTGATTATTAGCAAACAATTAATCGTACATGATGAATGATATGTGGAATTGAATGGCAACATTGTCTAGTGGTTAGAATTAGATGATTAATTATCCTGTTTTTTGAACCACTTGTTGCTTGTAGTGCCTATAATTAAAGGCCATCTTTTTACTAGTTAAATGGAGGTGGTTCAAGAGTATATCCCTTCTACTAGCAGCTCCCTATTAGCAATGAAGTAGCTACTAAAAGCAGACCAATAAATATGGGAAACTTTTTGTAGACCTAACTTTATTTGTTTCCTTTTGTGGATAAATTTTGATGCACTTCTTCATATCTACCTCCTGTCAGAAAGAAAGAAATTATGAATTTATACAACTTGCAAAACTTCAATTGCAACTCTTTAACGAGAACATCATATAGTATAGTTCGGTATTCCACATTGTACATGCTGGAATTCTTGATCTTGATGTTGTTGAGTGGAAGTATACTAAAGGAAAGAGGAGTAACATTGCCAAACCCAGTTATTAGGACTCCTTAATGTTTAACATTCTTTAATAGCGATGACTGTCAATACTTTCTAAATTAAGGTTATTAATAACATTTCTTACCTCTTTAAGTGAATTTTATCAGCTGTGGCTTTTGGTTCTCACCTATTTTCATGCTAATGTTGTGCTCTGAAGTACATTGTTTTCCTTCAGGAGTTGATTAATTTTTATTAAAATGGAAGTTATGTAAAGTTGGTTTGGTAAATGCAGGGAGATGCAGATATTGGGCAAACTACTACAAGTATGGGTATTGGAGAGTTGGAGTCAAATGAAATTCGTCGCTTTGAACTTCTAAGGAATGAACTGATGGAACTTGAAAAACGGGTTCAAAAAAGTACTGATCAATATGAAAATGAAGAGGTGTGTCTCATGCTTTTTAACATCTCCTTTGTAACATTTGAATGTTACAATGGTTTTTTTTCCTTCATGTAATAAATTAAATGCACATGCTTGTACAGTTCTAAAAACATGAATAAACCTGATATGGAATGTGGGAAACAAATTTTGTAACATTGTAAACTTATTATGGTCCTAGTGAAGTGGTTAGGACTTTTTGAAGTAGCTGCTTGCTTGGCTTAATTTGTACCTCTGTGGTTGCAAGTCCATAATTATTACTATTGCTCCAAGCAACGACTCCTTGAGACCTTGTTTTTCTTAAAAAAGAATGTAACTTACATTCTAGGATTACTTGGAAATGATTGCTTTTTGTTATTTTATATAATATCAGCAAGGTTTATTTATAACGACTACTGCCAACTCTGTATTCTTGACATTATTCTTATGAGATTCTATGTAACTTCTTAAACTTTGTTTTATTTTTAGGATATTAAGGTTACAGATGATGGTGCTAATTACCATGATGAGGCTGCAAGCTCTCAATTAATCCAGGTTCCAAGGAATGAAAATATCATCGAAAAATCAATTGTTAAGCTAAAGAAAACAAGCACGGTATGACTAGCACTTTCCATTCTTTCGTAACTGGTATAGTATTGCATATCTTTCAAGCTCAAGCATGTGACATCACATCAATAAGTGGATACGATTTCCTAATGTGCTGTGCTATGTTGGTAGTAATTGAATTTTTCTTTTCTTGCACCTTTGTGTTTCATGATCAAAATGATTTGGTTGGGTTGATGACATTGGACATTTATTAGGTTTATTGAAAACTAGATGAGTAAAGTCATTCATAGGCCAAATATATTAACTAAAATGAACGCATTGTTTCTGCTGGAACACTGAACATCTACTTGTACCTGTATCGGTGTTTGTGCAGGAATGCTAGGCATGCTGAAACAAATGCAAAATAATGCTCATTTCTTTGAATTGTTTAGAAGAAAAAAAGATCATTAGGATTTGAAACTCACTCCCATTTAAATCTTTAATATCTATTCTGTGACTACTACATGATGCATGGCATTTAGGTTTTCAATTTTAGAACTCAGCTCCTGGACTGTTTGCACCTCATTGATAATATATATGATTAAATATGTGTAGGATGTGTTGCAAGGAACTCAGCTTCTAGCTATTGATGTTGCTGCTTCAATGGGGTTGCTTAAAAGGCTCTTGATTGGAGATGAGTTAACAGAGAAAGAAAGAAAAACTCTCCGGAGAACTATGATAGACCTGGCATCAGTGATACCTATTGGTGTTCTTATGCTTCTTCCTGTAAGTCCCATCTTAAAACTACCCTCATAAACAGCGTGTCATTTTAGTTGTTTCATTTTCATCCTCTCATTAATCCGTAAATCACACAACTCTCAAGTATCATGACTTCTCATTGATTCATCTGGCAAGCTTGGTTTGCCACTTCTCCTTCTATTTGTGGTGAAATTGTTTCTGCTAGACTAAACAGTGCTTTAGGACAATCCAGTCATTTAGAAATACTCATCCCTGTTGCTATGTGGGAGGTTTATATCGAAATATATAGAACTTGTAATTATCTTCATTGCAGCTGCATTATTTCTGTGGCACAGCTTGTGGACCACCCTGTTCATTGTCATACTGTTTAAGAAATCGAGTTGTCAACCTTAATATATTTAGAAAGTCTAGACCCTGACCAAGCTTCTATCTGATGTGTTTAGGCATAATACCGTGTCAAAAATTGTTAGTTCTGGTGCAAGTTCAAAAAAACGGGGGATGGATGCCTAAAAGGTTCCCAGCATAAAGAGCTTGGTTAGCTTCAAGTGCACTATTAAACTAACCTACAAATTGGCCAGGTTCATTTCAAGTTCATGATCTGACTTGTCTTCAGATCTGGGTTGAGTCTGCACTTATTTTATCGCAACTGATTGAAGCTGCAACTCCACCATATAAAAGATACTATGAATTTTTTTAAGTGCAGAATTTTGTGTGTTAATTATATATGGTCCTCAGAATTGGCTTTCTTGGAACACATGGAAAACTGAACTGCATTTCCACAAAAATCTCAATCCAAATCTGTGATGTATTGCCCCCATTTTACATCTATTGGCACTGTTTTTTTCCACCGTGACCTGATGTAGAAAGGATAATTTGTTCATCCTAGGTTACTGCTGTGGGGCATGCAGCAATGTTGGCTGCTATCCAGAGATATGTGCCAGCTTTGGTGCGTTGTTTCTGAGCCAATAAATTCCTTTTTTTTATATTCTTATTTAGATGTCAAATCTCCAAATACCAGGTGCTTTTATAATATGTTCTTTGGCAGATACCATCCACATATGGACCAGAAAGGCTGGATCTCTTGAGGCAACTTGAGAAAGTGAAGGAAATGGAAACGAGTGAACTGGATACCAAAGAAAATGGAGAGGTACTATCCTGATCAGAAGCAGCCCAGATTATGAACAATCGGACAGTGACAAAACCCTTCGAGATTAGGTAACTGGTAAATTACATTATATAATATCACCTGGTTCTGAATCCCGTTGACAATAAATTAGCATATAGAATTTCATTCCATGTATCAGGTATTCCAGGTAGGCACCAGTGACTGCAGTCCTGTGGAGCATCAACCGGAGTGCCGGGCTCTCGATGATGAGAAGGGTGACCGTCATACCTGAACTGTGACAGATGCGTAATGTTTAAGAACCGAACCTTCCTGTCTCCATAATCCATCTCTTTGATTACAGTAGAAATTATTTGGTTATACACTGGCTCAGGTTCCAGCATTATGTAGTTTGCTTCTGGTTGTATATCAACATCACATCGGCCCCCCTCATCCCACGTACCATTCCTGCAATTTTTCATATTAAAATAAGTATATAATCTGGATTGAGATAATCCAGGTCCGCACGAATCCTAGCTGGACGTGAGCCAAGAATATTTACCTGTAATGTACTGGGGAGTAGCCACGAAAGAAAACACGTGTCCCTTCAGGGCTTAAATTTTCACACCACGACTTCCATGTCTGAAGAGATTTTTGAAATGCTTCTATCACGTTCAACGACATGTTAACCTTACCTCCGTCCTCGAAGTAGTTACCCCTGCACATACCAAATTGTGAGCGTGACTTTGTGGTCAGCAATAACTAGGAACTGCAAAATAAGGGAGAAAATCTCATACATCTTGACGGTTTTATCTTCATTCCACCAATGCCCTGTGTTGAACATCAGAACGTCAGCCCCTTCCCAGTTTCTGGAAAACCAGTGCAGCTGGTCGACCTTAATTGTCATTTTGATGCCAGCCGGTGAATTCTGAGGTGGGCGGCCGATGAATACCAGAAAAGGTGCCCTATAGTATTCAACCGTGAGATTGTATTCGCTGAAGCGCATGGAGAGAAATCCTTTGTGTTTTGTTATTGGGTTCCCGTTCTCTTCATATATTGAAGACTTGTTGGAAACCCCTTGAGCAAGCATGCATAGGAAAGACTCCCACTGGTTTCTGCCAACAGAGTCCCCAGCAAACACAACCCTTCCATTTCTGCCTCTGTTTAGGATTTCACTTGCATTAAATCTGAGTAGAAACAAGAGGAGAGAGTTGAGGAAAATCTCAATATAGACGCTACAAATTGTCTGCACGCATGAGCTTATTGAACCAAATAGCTGGTGAGACCCGTCGCGCATCAAGTGGGAAAATGGCGGCCAATATTCACCATTCCCTGTGTTATGCCTACAGTGGCTCTCAATAACTCTTACGTGCCATGCAATCGATGGGGTTGAAATATGTGCAAAATGATCCTAATTAACAGTTTTAGGTACAACTGTAATGGCGGTTAGAGAGTTTATCGATCTCAGGCCCTTCACCTGTAATGTACAACGGTAATGGCGGTTAGAGAGTTTATCGATCTCAGGCCCTTCACCTGTAATGTACAACGGTAATGGCGGTTAGAGAGTTTATCGATCTCAGGCCCTTCACCTGTAATGTACAACGGTAATGGCGGTTAGAGAGTTTATCGATCTCATGCCCTTCACCTGTAATGAAATTAAAGGCTATGAAGCTCCCGCTTTTCCAACAGGAACCCGTCTAAAGTACTGGTCTAACGATAATGTTCATCAAAACTCATGAAATTTGGATGCCAAACTCAAAAGTTACTTCACTTATATTAATTAAGGTTTCCAATATATAAACTTAATAAAGAAAATCCAATATTGAAAGAAGCATCCATGCATGCATGACAAGGCTTGTTAAACTTTCATGATATAAGCTTCCATACCTTGGCAAATCACACCCTTCTGGCTGCCATCGCCAATTCCGATAGTCTCCGTCTTTTCGTCCGTTTTGAACGCACCGAAAGCCTGGATCAAGAAAGGGGCAGTTCTCAGTGTACGATAGATTCTTGTAACTTTCATCCCGAACCCATCTTCCACGAGAATAATCACAGGCTGGGTGTGATGAGTCTTTATCGTTCATTATGAAACCAAAGCGAAAGACAGATCCCGGATCGAAAGAGCCAAGAAGATCAAAGACGAAGAATGAAGACGCTACGACAATGAGAAAAGAGATTGCATAGATAAGTTCTCTCTTGATTACAAGGGGAAAATAAAGAAGGTGGTGTTTTTGGTTTGTGGGCTGTTGATGATGATCCATAGAGAAGAGAGAAGGAACAACAAGTCTTTTTATATATAAATTCTTGTTGTTACTTACTTTGAAGGTGTCCTGGAAGAGAAAGAAGGGATGTATGTGGTTGCACGCTCGCGGTTTGTTGAATAGATGGCAATGCAAGTAGGAGAATTAGGGTTCATTGCAGGCATAGCAGTTGCAGGTGTTCTTCGTACCAGAAGATTGGTATTGGGACAGCACAAAAGCTTTCCCTTCAATATCAATAGCCTTAAGGAAAGAAGAAGCATCCTCTATTTTGTTTGATCAGTTCTGGAACCACCCATTTTCTTTTGGCTTTATGCTATATTGAGAAAGACTTGTATGTGGTTTTGGCGGCTTGTAGGATGGGATTGTTCAGATGGAGTAGATATACTCTTGGCAATCGTGCTTGCCTATCTGTATTCTTGTTTAGGAATATACAACGATGAGATTGATTATCCATCATCATAATCTTAAAATAAATATAAAAAGAATAATGTTACCATGTTTGTTTTGTGGTGTATATATATTCTTAAATTTCATGCTTCCTTGCACGCACGTTGGTATTGCATCTTTTTGGTGGACTGTGAGTGTCTATTTAATATTGTGTTTTTATTTGTTTGAAAGTATTTTAAAAAAATATTTATTTTAATTATTATTTATTTTATTTATTTCAATAAATTTAATGTATTGTTATTAAAAATAAAAAAATATAAAATTATTTTAATATATTTTTAAACAAAAAACATTATACACGATAAAACATAAACTACAAAAAATATCCAATCCTACTCAAATCATACAAATATTTTGCTTTAATAAAATAAAAATACAATATATTATGTTATTCTCGCCCAATTCTTCTCATGTTTATGGAAATTAATAGAACCCAGCATTAAGCGGTTGGATCCATCCAACCCGACCCAATTCAATATAAGTTAGAGTTTTTAAACCTAGCTTGGTGGTTGACCCAACCCAAAACTTAGATCATGGATTTTTTTTTAGTCGAAATTAATTTTTTTATAAATCAAAATGATGTTGTTTTAGTTAATGGCTTGTAATCGGGTCTTATCTAGCTAACCTGATCACTAGGTTAACCTGCCGAGTCACCCAAATTTTTGATTTTCTTATTTTTTTCTTAAATTTGACCCGATTTCAGCTCCAAATCAACCAAGTTTTCAAACTATGATATAAATAATAAATTGATTAAAATATAAAATGAGATTACAAGAGAGTGTTTGGATTAGAGGTGTTTTAAAAAATCAATAAACCAAATAAACTGAAAAAAATTAACCAAAAAATAAAAACCCGTTTCGGTTTAGTTTTTGGTTTTGTAATGCAGAAATTGAGTTAACTAAACAGGATAGGATCAATTAAAAAAAAAGGGTCCCTAGTATAAATACAAATGTTGCCACGACGTGCTCCTCTCTTCTATCTAGTTTACTCCTCTTTTCTATCCAGTTTACTCTCCGCTAACCCTAAGCAGTTTCAATTTCAATTTTCAAAGAATCTCTTCTCTCACTACTCACTACTCAGAGCCACTCGTCGTCCCGCCCCCTAGCCCCTTCACCCTCTTCGGCCTCCACTAAGGCCACCCCTGTACCAGAGCACTCGCAACCCGTCCCCTCTCGTCTCTTTGCCTCTCCCTCTCCACTCTCCTTAGATTAAGAAAACATAAACACAGATCGACCATCGATGTTTCCTCAGTCTCTATTAGACCAAAACAATCTGTGTTTCCATCAGATCGATGTTTCCACAGCTTTTCAAACTAGTGAGTTTTAATTTTTTTTCTCCTTTCAAATTAATTAATTCAGTTAAGGTTATTGTTATTTTTAATATAGTTAAGCTTATTTTTTATATGTTTCCTTAGTCTCTACTGGACAAACATAGTCGATGTTTCCATCAGACTAATGTTTCTTCAGCCTCTCAAAATTAGTGAGTTTTAATTTTTTTTCCTCCTTTCTAATTAATTCATACAGTTAAGCTTATTGTTATTTTTAATCAATTTTGTTGGGTGATGAATTTTAGTTTAGGTTTAAATTAGAATTTAGAGCTATTTGGGTGATTAAAGCGAATTTTTTTCCTTTGTTTGAATAGAAGGGATTTAGCAGTTTAGTATTATGATTATTTTGGTATGATTATTTTTAATCAAAATTACCGTTCTTATAATTGTTTACAGTTTAGAATTAGAGCTGTCTTGTACATGTAATTTCAGAATCTTACATATAATTTTACAGTTTATTTTGCTGTTTTGTAAATGTAATTTTAATATCTACTACTGTAAACTTGTGTTGATTTTGTTGCTGTTGCTGTTGCTGTATTGATTATGTTGCTTTGTTGGTTGATTACTAGAAACAAACAATTAAAATCATTTTGTTGTTGATTAAAATCATGTTTATAAGCCTATGTTGATTGACTTGATTCTGCAAATTAGTTTTGTTTTGATAGGTTTTTTTTATTCAGTTTTGTTTTGTTATTTTGTGAAATATATTCATTATTCTATTTTGGATGATCTTGATTAGCATTTTGTATTCATTAAAATCATGTTATTCTTGTATTAATTATTTTTTTACTTCTGTAATTATTTTTCCTCAATTGATAGATTTTCTAAGCTTGTTTTGACATGTTATTTCTGTAATATTTGTTTCATTTTAATTTTTAAACATGATTTTAATCTTTATATTTATTAAGTGCTGAAAAGAATTGTGTAAGTGATAATGATTAACGAACATGTTTGTATTTGGTAATTATAGATGGAAAACCTTCAAAAGGAAAATGCTTCATCCATTAGCACTACCCAACATCAAGCAATGCCCTAGTTTAAAACACTAACCCAACATCAATTACTATAGGATCCACCATAGATAATAAAGTTAAACAATTTCAAGTCTTTGCATTAAAGAAAAGAAATGTTGATGATAAAAGAAAGTCGCAAATTTGGGATCATTTTACAAAACTTGGTGGTGATCCTACAACCTTTAAAGCTAAATGTAATTATTATAGAAAGGATTATGCATGTCATACTATTATTAATAGGACAAGTAATATGTGGAGTCATTTGAAAGTATGTAAAAAGTTTCCTTATATGGTTGATAAGAAGTAAAATTTTTTGGTATTAGAACCTAATAAAATAGGGGGTGAATTAGGAGATTGAAGTGTGGTAACTCTTAAGGTAATAG